CGTGGCAACTTGGAGATTTGTAACAGTACTTTCTTTACCTTCATGGTCGCTAAATCATCGTCTAACTGAATCATCGTTATCGGTCTGACGCTCACAGATGCAGCAGCTTCCATGTGCAAAAGTGTAAAATTGCAGGAATAACAGACTGCAACATACGGTGTGTGTGTGTGTGTGTGTTATTCCTATATAGTGTGGCAGAGCCGAGGCAACTTTCGCCGCTTCATGTTTATGCCGTTTAGCCTCACCGCATCGACGCGAGCGTTGCCGATTTTCCGAGCGTTATTATATTATATGCGCTTCTCGTGAGCTCGCGATGCATACTGAGAATTATAAAACACTTTACCGGTCGCTCTTTGACACGTCTCTTGTTTACGAGATGTAAATTTCGATTTTTATTTTTATTTCCTAATTTTTATGGTTTTTACATTTCATCCTAGCATATGCCTGCTTTTTGTCATTTACGCTACCGTAAATATTTTTAATAATAATTCCTGCCGATTAAATAATCATTGAAAAATAGACATTATTCCATTTCGTCTTTCTTTTGACACGGTAACGTATTGGGATACTAAAAACAATCGAAGACATTTTATGCGTTCAACAATTAATAGAAAGCTACTAATATCTAGCATAGAGCGTGCATTTAATCCTTTTTATTAAATTTCATACGACCTTCTCACTGCAATGCACAAATCACCTTAGATCATATTGTCTCGTCAAGGTCACGGATAAGAAGGTATCTTATATACATTTTTAAGAATGACTTATTACAAATATCGAATCCAAATTTATATTATCACTCGACAAGAAAAATAAATGAGGTTTTATACAGTGTAGTTTGTGAATTATAAGATTTTTTACAGCATAATAAAATAAGTGAATGAAATTCAACAGCCGAGCGACAGCTTGTTTCAAGTGATTAATGCGCCCGTTTTCGACGTACACGCAGGCAAATCAAGGAAATTGAAACGAAAGTATACGTGACTTTTCGAAAAGCAGAAAAGTAAGTAGAGGATGCTCATTACGAATTTCTCAATTGCACTAAGAGATCGAGAAGGCAGAAAAACACCTAACCGAAGGTAAAAACTTGGCATCCACACGGGCAAAAAAGATAATGCTATCCTTATAAGTATGCATATTGTGCAAACACAAGTAGCTTATGTCTTTTCTTTTTTACCTAATAGCTTAATTACAATGTCGCGCGTCTGACTAAACCTGTCCCGTTACTACGCGCCTCGGCTGTCGCAGCATCTCCTATTCGTACCGTCCATTCATCTTCTCGCTCACTCGTCGTGTCTTCATTCACGACGTGTAGTATAGTAACGTACTACTGACGGCTGTCAGGAGGATTCCAAGTCCGTTGATCTCGGAAAAGATGATTTATAATTTTTTTTTCGCGGTATAGTTTTTATGTTCGAACGGCCTAAGAAAGATGGAGAAGCATTAATGCGCGCAATGAATTTTGTGCTTGACATGTGAACTATTACCAACATTCAATTTCGTGCTTTCCGCGGCACGTATTTCCTTTTTCCTCGAGACAGAGAGTGAAAGTTATGCTCGTAAGGTGAGATTTGCAGAGCACTCAAGTTTTTTCGAGTACTTCGTAAACACAAATTTATCAACGGGTTTCTTAAATGTTCATATACATTTATATTCGATCTGTTTTTAATTATTTCAAATTCACTGATACTGATATACGCGATATATATATATATATATATTTATTTATTTATAAATACAAAGTTGTTAGAAGACGTTGTATTAACGTGATTATCCGAATAGCAGTTGAACTAATATCGTAGAACGCTTTTATAATAAAAACATCGAGCAAAAAAAAACTACCAAGTAAGAGAGAGTATGTGCTTCTCGGTGTGCAAATGAACAGTGAAAAATGTCCTCTACGACAATATTCTCAGTCACTTCACACGAGGCATTTAACCCAATAACACGTATCCTTCGAAATCCTTTGAATGCAATAAGTCGAGAAACATGCTGCAGATAAACCGTCAATTCATAAAAATCAAAGGAATGTTTTAAACATCAAACGGTATTGCATCATTCTGGCTCGACTGGTTAGATTTTAGATCAACCTACTCATTCAGTCGTGTGCTCGCACACGCACTCGTAGGCAGTTCAACATAGCTAGATCAGTAATTAGCCTTGTTAGACGTTACCGATCGTATCCAATATTAAAAATATAAAATTGCATTTGATTCTATATATGTAACTATACAATGTGCATACGATTGAAAAATCAGCATAAATTTATACATGCTCGTTGCAAGAACGTACACAAAACATTTTATTCAGCGTACCATTCTTCTCATGGCTTTTAGTTGACGTTGGCCAACGCGCATCCGCTTTCATCCATTACGATCCTTTCGATTTTAACTGCTTCTGTTCGTGTACACTGTACTGTAAAAGCAAATACAATGATCCAGTTTTAAAAGCAATAGTTATACTCTTAAAGTTGACTTGTTGTTTCAGCGTCGTAAAACCAATTTAATTATAAAGAACATAGGCGAATATTAATGTAGAGCGTTGATAGGCCAGAGAAAGAAAAATCAAATTATTTAATTAGTCGATGATGAAATGATTTGTTCCACTTCTGTAACGTAAATTCTGCCAAGCTCCAATTAATGAATGGCCAAAAATGCATGCGTTTATGCCGAAAATAACGTGCGTGCTCTAATTTCAGCTTCCCATAATTTATGTCTCGAGCTTGACTTGCAACAACATGTATTTTTCATGACTCAGAATGGGGAGTATCATAAGAAAAATCTGACGATTCATGCTGTTTTTTTACAAATTTGAAAGTGAACTATATATATATATTTATTATTTTTGCAAAGAGACTTTCTTGGCACACTTTATAACAAGTACTAATTGTCACTACCTTGACAGACTTGTTTTTAGAAAGTCAATCCGAAATTTGAATTGAACGGAAAGAGAAAAGTGAGTAAGCATTGGACGCGAAGGCAAATGGGCTGTTATCGATTATCGGTGTGTCACTATGCCACCCTCTCGAGGTAACCCCAGAACCACGGAAAATGTGCATGATCTAATAAATCAAAAGTAAACAAGTAAAAAAGAAATGGTGCCGGGCGCGGTTGCATAAATCGTCGCGCAGTGTCCCTCTTGCAGAGTGTATATCCTTTTTGACAGAGCCGAGCAGAGCAGAGGTACGCTCGAGCGAGTGAAAAAGGCTGGCTGGCGTTTGGCAATGCCGTGTCGATAGTATTTGGCAATGGCCGTGCTAATATCGAGAGTATAATTCTGCTGTCCCCCTACTTTGCGTCCCTCGAGCAACGACGCGACTGTGTGCGGGAGCGCTCTCTTTTACTTTTACTCGGGGGAAATCAGCAGCGACTCTACTTCATGCCAGGCACACTCACTTGCGCGCGCGCACGCGTGCAAGTGTATACCTATGGATACCTACGTGCTTACCGGGGAACCCAAAATTATCGGCAGGGATCGTTGAACGCGAAATTAACGGCTTGATCGTCTTGTTCGGCACGTATACGCTATTGGTAGCATTTTCTCCCCGTCTCTCTCCGTCCTACTGAAGTATCCGCAAGTTTAATGCTACAGGAACTTATTACCACAACCGGAATTGACGCTCAATATGACAAAATAAATCTTCTCTGTAGACGATTTTATCGTCAAATTAATTCTGTACTTTCACATTATATTCACTTGAATATATTTATGCTTGATTTTACTAATTATTCAACATACTGCATAATTAATTAGTTAACTAATATTTTCTTTTCTATATATATACATCATTTAACGTGCAGTACCTCAATCTATAGAAGCTGAATAAAGTTATAAATTATATAATAAAAATTACTTTTAGTTATTATCGTTATTTTTTTTCAAATTTCTCTCAAACTACATTTATGTTTTATAGTATAAGCACCATGTTAATTTTCATAACGTCGTTACATTCGGAGAACATATAATTAATTTATATGGATGTCGAAAATGATTCTTTAGAAATCATAAGTGACGCGTCATGTGAGGGAATCAAAGTGAACATACACATTTATTACTATGTACCTGGAAAAATACTAGAAATAATTTTGTTTCATTCTTTCACTTTCAGTTATTTCTCTTTTTCAAAATACATGCTTACCTGGTTAGAAAATTGTCGGTTTCGGCTGTACTTTAGGTTTCACGCGATATCTCCTTTATCACTATGACTAGTATTTTCATAAACCAAAATTGTACATACATTTATTCATAATTGAATCTATAATTTCTCGAGCGTAGATAAGAGTAAAGATTTAAAAAATGTCTAACCGATTATACTTAATCCATGTCATAAAAATGGAATATATAAAATATCATCCCTAGCCCACAGGTCGCGATCATTTAATATGCCAGAGAGCAGATAGGCCGCTGCTATGCTACGGTTACAAATGACCTTGCGGAAAAGACTCTGCTCGTGTGATGTAGCCAACTTCACCTCGACAATGCGATCAGAGAGCGAGAAAAGCCTCGACTGAAATTTCCCTTTCAAGCGAGCAATTGTAAGGAGGAGTGGAAAGGAAAGGAGGGGGGAGGAGTGACAATCGTACTGTAACAACATTTTAAGTGCCCTTTTGAGAGATAAAATCTCGCTAATTTAACACGCTAACTAGTTCAGCTAAGCCTGGAAAATTCGGTGCAAGTACACATAGCGACAATATAGGGGGAGAGAGGGAGGGGGAGAGAGAGAGAGAGAAGTTACTTACTACCAGGAGGCATCCGCAGGCGGTAGGTACAGCATAATGGTGAGCGAGCAAGAGCGAGTAAGAGCGAGAGTGTTGGGCGCGAGCGTGGAGCGCCCGTGCTCGCGCGAAGGAAAAGAAAGCCCCCACTATTGGCAAAAGCGTGTCGTATAGGTTATAAAGGACCGTGGCCGCCTCTATCCGGCTGCACTCTCTCAGTGAAACTCACCGAGGATCGTTCTTCAACGTCAAACTTTGTATCTTTGCGCGCGCAATCAACCGCAACGCAATCGTAAGGACAATCCTTGACCAGCTGTGTTTTGCGTACATTGAAACGGCTGCTAACGTGACTGTTCGCGCTCTTTTTCCAACTGCACGCACAAGCTGCCACAGGATTATCACGCGTGCGCGTGCATACGTTCAAACATGAGGATCTTTCTGCTGGTACGTTCAAAATTTCAGTCCATTGTATTTCAATAAAATTCGAAGAAAACCTCTTGCATTTTGCTATTCGTTTGCTCTTGAAACGTGCAAAATCCGAATAAATTGTTTGCTCTTCCGTCATTCTCATGCAATCGGTTATTAAAATGTTGAAACTATACGATTAAGACCTACTGATTAGTGGAAAATTAATTTTTCTGTCGAGTGCAAGCTAGTTGATGGCAAGCTGCTAACGAGGTATTCAAATTATAAGTAGTCGTGTAAATTTTAATTGGCTTTCGAGCTTCCCTCGGACGCTCCTGGCGCGCCGGCCTCTTTTCCATATTATGCATAGAAGGGCCATTAGTCTGTAAGGCTTTGCGCGCACTCGAAACAAAAAGCGCGATTATGTGTACAGAAGTGTATACGTACACCTTGCAACGGCGGCAGCAGGCTGGCGCGCATCGTCGATCTTCTACTTTCACGCGAATACTTGCGACTTTTTTTATTCTTGTTTCTTTTTACTTTTTTCTACAATCGAGACGGGGTTCGAGACGCTCTCCTCGTTTATCCTCTCTTTTAACTATCTCTCTCTCTCTCTTTACGTCTCTTGTGCGTTTTTTATCTTATTCTAGTTACCCTGCATCGACGTGTGCGCTGCTGTATCTCACATCCAATTTTATAATACGCGGTAGTTCTCGCGCTACGGCGCTTACGCAAGTTATCGTCTTTGCGAAATTTAGTATGATTTTTGTGCGCTCTTCGTTGTTCATAATTGCGCGCTGGAGGATCGTGCTCCCAAGTTTGTGTGTGTGTGTGTGTGTATGTGTGTGTGCGCGCGCGCGCATACGTGTGCATACCTGTATGAGCTTTGTGCCGTCGTCGAGTGACTGCCGTCTTTCGCCTGCTGCAACTCTCTCGTGCCGACCTATGAGCTCGTCTCATTGCGATAAAATTGTGCACGAAAATACATTCACGTGTGATTAATACCATCGACATGTACTGAAAATTTATAATTTGTTTTCGTCAATTATTTCACTTACATGACATCTAAAAACATCCGTAATAATTACTTAATGAGCTTTTCTTTTATTCGTCTTTAAATTTCTCTCATTCGAATGCTGTGGCTATTAAACGGTGAAACGAGCGCAACTAACACATACCCTGTGCACAGGCGACACGAGCTATAAGCTACCTGGCAGTAAATGTGTTTTACAAACGAGCGCGCGTAAAATTAGCATGCGCAAAGGATGAGCCTGGCAATGATCTATTAAAGAGACTCGTTTTTTCTTCGCGAGTTTTTCCACGCGCTCATGTTTCTTAATAGGCGCGTGCGGGCTGCGAGCATTAAAGCGCGAAACTGCGTTTTCATCGAAAGTGGACGCGTATAGCCGCTTACATATACCGGTTTAGACTTACCCGTTTTGCGCATGTGGACGCGCGCGCAAGGGACGCAGTGAAATTGCATCGCTTACATGATGAATCGCAGCTGGGAAAACCAACTACTGTTTTCACATTATTGTCGCTGGCGTTCGCTACTCAATATTCCGCGAGCGTATGATTTGTCAACGTCCACTTTCATTGATTAGTATACGGCTGCTCTCGCGATGCTTAGATTGCTGCGTCGTTGATGATACTGCGTGTGTTTTCTCCGTGTATTAACATCACGATCATGAATAAGCGAATTTTTGCAACGACCGCTATTAATTAGCCTTATAGCCATCGAATAAATCAATTTTTCTCGAAAGGATATATGGTTAGTTGAAAGTGGTTTAGTCGTCCCGCCGTTACTGTATGCTGCAGGTTTATCAGTCTTGCAAATCGGAATAGACGTCTCATTGTATTCGCATCAATCGAAAGCCAGACGTTGTCAATGGAGACCGCTAGAATTTTTATAGCCTTGTCAGTCGATAGTCTAAATAGCCAGGTCTTACTTTATCTATCTAATACACTCGACAACCTGCTAATTTACGATCTTACGTATTGATTCTTCGCCAGGCTCTCACACACACTTTGTATGCTTCGGTGACACTAATCGGGCACTAATTAATTGAATAAACCCTCCCCTGTATTTTAGCACGCTCCTGTATGTATCCGTCGGACGATGTAACATCAAAACAAGGAAGCTAGTGGAAGAACTGTCCACGGCATTTTCTAAAACGAAATCGCTTGTGATAGCTGACTATACGCGACACTTTCTCACCGAGAGATTGACGAGAGTGCAAGTATATGTACGTGTGTGTGCGTGCTCAAGCGAGCTAATTACCCATTCTTCATGTGATTATTAGGGGCTTATATAATCGATTAGCTCGGCGCGATGATTGTTCACTTGATTCATTCTTCTCGTCGCCTTAAGTATAATGAGGTGGCGGGTACGGAAGGGGGGGGGGGATTTCTAGTCTCGCGTAATTTTCTCATATGGGCCCGGATGTCTTGCAGCTCGCGATTTCGCAAACCCGCGCTCCAGACAGTCCTCTCTTCCCTTCCGAAAGTCGCGCGCGCGCATAGCTGAGGTTTCGACACGCAACGTGTGCCGCGCGCGTAATGTTATTGTAGGTATGCGCTGCGCACTACAAGCCCGCGACGACGACGACAGTCGAGAGTCTGAGATGTGTAACGAAGGCCAGTTAATTAATCGTGCGTTGGTTGCTGCTGCTCTCTCGCGAGATTGCTTATCTCGCAAGTACATTGTAGATTCGTTCATCAATTAGCTCATCCGACTCGTAGGCATGTTATTTGTAGTTTGGACTTGGACCTCTTTGTTGTTGTTGTTGTTGTTGCTTTGCTTGATTTTTTTTTTGTTTCAAATTTGTGAAATATTTATGTTACTACTAGTTCAATTTAGACAAGTGGATGACTTTAAAAACCAGCGTTTCTTTTGTGAACTATCCAATTTTCAACGTTGTTATACGCTATAAGAAAAAAACGTTTTATCAGATAATTGTTATGTTTTTGCAATTTCGATGCTATTATGTCGGAGAAAATTGTTTCAAGCTTTACCGTAAAGGCTTTGAAAAGTAAATAGGCATGAGTGAAGTTATCTTGATTACTTGTTCAAGTTTTATAATATCTAAACTGGTTTTCAGATTTGCGCTTTTGCCGGGATCCGACAATTTATTCGTTATTAGAATCAATATATTTTGTCACCAAATTATTGCCATCACTTTCAGTTCTACGTAATTGAGCCATCATTTTCCATACAGAACGTGCATGTGTGCGCAAGGTACTCAAAAATTTCAACCGACATTACGAAAACACTCAGTCTAGAAATATTACGAAAAAAAATTGTGATTTCGAAGGACCGGAAGAATAAAGATAAAAAAAATTGCGACGTTATGACGATAGCGGGTGTCGTTTGAACAAATATTACAATAGCGAGACTTTCATACTATCCCTATAAAGCCGGAGACCGATGTACCAGAGCGCGTTATACCAAAAACAGAGAGATCTTTCTGTACGCCGGGTGTATAATGCACGAAAGCTCCCAAAAAAAGCCAGGCGTCGAAAGTCCGTCGTGAGTGGCGCGCTCGTGTCAAAAGATACGTACTACCGGTCAGCGCACTTATGTTCTTTTTTTTCCTTCGTTTCTTTCGAGAGCACTTTTCCTCTTCGCGACGACGACGACGATCGGCAACATACACGCGACCGTTACGAGCATTGCGCAATACCGACGCTCCTGTCCCACTTTTTAATCTACGCTTTTCTCTCTTTGTCCCTGCCTGCTGGCGAACGCGTATGTGTCGATGACGAAAAAAAAACACGAAAAAGAAATAGTGAGGCGTGATGCGGATAAAGAAAAACAAAAATTAAGATCCCTCGATTCATTAATTATTTAGTCGGCGTACGCACCATTGCAGCGGATAGAAAGTTATGACGCGGGGGGGAATTAATTTGCGTGTTAATTGCAAAAGACTGTAGGTTGTACGAGCTTAGAAAAGGCATTGAAGTTTGCCCATTAGAAGGAGGATTTGCACTTCCGATTAACGAGTTGCGCACAAGGAAATCATGTCTAGGCTGTAAAATTGAATTTCGAATGATATCGCGAAAACTACCTGATTTTTTCCGTACCTCTCTCTCTCTCTCTCTCTCTCTCTCTCTCTCTCTCTCTCTCTCTCTCTTGCTCTCTACCATTGATCGTGGAAATGTTTTAATTAAGTCTGCAGTAGGAGCAGCAGCCATAGCCGCAGCGTGATTTCGCTAAAATCAAGCGTGTGTGCAAGGTGTGGAAATTGAATTATGTGTGGCTGTTGAAGCTGAAGGAGTTATACGAGGAGTTAAATTAAGTGTGAAATCCAGGCATTGTGTGTTACTTTTCTTTCAAAGTCACTACTCAAAGATGGATTGGATACTTTCGCCTCCTTGGATGAGCCACAGTGATAATGCCATTGCCACTGGCCAATGGAATTTTATTGTTCATTTTTGTATAAATCAAAGGACGGTAATTAAACGTATGTTGCTTCTAGGACTTTTTTTAAAAATAAGTAATTAGTTTGGTTTACGTAAAAAAAGAGGAAGAAAATCAGTGAAATGAATATCGAGCGTGCGAAATGTTATATTACGTCTGGTGTGTTCACGCGCTCAGGAGTGCAGTATGCTTTCTTTCCTCGACTAGGCAAACTTTATTACGCCAGGGAAAGAAAAACTTTCGATATGATTATCCGAAATTATGAATGTTGTCTGATTTGTATTATTACACGATTAATGCATAATTAGCTTAACGTGTAAATACTCAAATGAGCCGTTGACGTGACTCGATGAGAAAAGACGCGTGTTTACGTAATTGCACGAAGTAAAAGAAAGAAACAGTCGAGTGTAATCTCGTCGATCGCGTAAATTTTTTCTCCTATCACGTTCGATCGGTCGAACGCGCGAGCGCTCGGTTCGTTGTCCGTTTATGATCTTACAAGCAATAATATGAAAAGTCTAAAAGTTACCTAATTTTAGAAAGTCGCGGGCGCGCATTTAATCGCGACATTACATCTGCAATTCAAGCAGATCGCATTATATCGAGCATTTTCCACGGA